ACACGAAACTACCGTTCAAGATGCGTCGCAGACAACTACCTATAGTTGTTGCTTTTGCAATGACTATTAACAAAAGTCAAGGACAATCTTTGGACTACGTTGGGTTGTATTTGCCAAGACCATGTTTCTCACATGGTCAACTCTATGTAGCTGTTTCAAGGGTGACTTCTAAAAAAGGGCTGAAGGTATTGATTGTTGATAAAGAAGGTAAACCTCAGAAAGAAACAATGAATGTTGTTTTTAAAGAAGTTTTCCAGAATTTATAGGCCAAGCACTTCTCTATTACAATCATGAAGACAGGTAACGACTATAATTCTTACTTGTGGAATTTTTTTTGATTTAAACATATGGGTATGAATTAGTAACAGCACTTAAGTCAAAGCTACTTAAACAAAGTTTGCTTCAAATGCACTACAAGTTTACAGGGAATCACCAGTGGAATAAATGGAGCAGTAAAGGATGGTGAGAAGTTCGGCGATGTTGGAGACGTGGAAGGAGAAAAAAAAGATGGCGAGAAGGATCAGGCTACTGCTACTTAAAAGTGATTTGCAGTGAAACTTTGTTTTCGTTTTTATATTAGTTTTAAGATTTTTATCCAATAAAGTAGTATGGTTTTTTCATGTTTGGTTATAGTTTGTTGCATTGGCAATAAGTTATAACACAAACATTTTTCCATACTACTTGAAGAATATGAATTGTCATAAACTATGAAGAAGATCATTTTCATAAACCTGTTTTAGTTTGTCAAACTATTATCTATTAACAAGATACAGATTAGACTTGGTTTATTAAGTTTAAATTCTCTAAATTGTTAAATTCAATTTTTTACCACAGGGGAAGATGTTCTTTATCTAAATATACAGTGATAACATGATTTACAAAACAAATAAACTTAGCTCACCAAAAGACACACGATAAACAATCTATCCATTATAACATTTACCATTCTATGTCAACAAGTGCAACGAAATCTTACTCAAAACTAGGCATAATTGAAGATTAGTAGAACGTATGAGATTAAGAATGAAATCATATACTAACCGATAGTATGGAGGTTTTTTTTATTAAGCGTAGCCGACGTAGTTCAAAGCAGAGAGTTTTGAAATGATTAATCTTCAAGTTATATCTGCGTTAAAGAATAATGTCAGATTCAGATATAAACTATAAAATCTAATGTTTTATTCAATAAGAAACTTCAATTGATTATATGTACTTATCTAAAATATATCATGATTAGAATTTCACTGTCTTCTATATCGACGAAATCGAAGTCGTTGTGCGTAAACTTTATAAGTCCCATCTGTTCAGAACAAAGATATAGACAACAATTAAAGACATATTGTAACTATACGATGCTGACAAATATCATATTGAATTAAGACAATAACCGAAAGGAAATTAGAATCCAAAAATCAAAGATGAAGCTACTCTAGAACTGAAATCAGAAATAGTTTTCAATCTGTAAAGGAGTACAGATTTAACTACCAATTTCGTTGTTAATTACCTTATGATAAAGAAAGTTTTTCGATTGCCATCCAAGCAGGAATTGTTGTTAAGCAAAAGCTAGATTTCATTCACCTCAAACAAATCGATAGCAGATCCGAATTTGGAGATAGAAGACAACATTTATTTTTCTCTTTTTGTTTTTTGTTTTTTTGGACGGCTGTCTTTTCGTTATTCATTTTCTTTTTTTTTTGATAAAAAAATCCACTATTACGTAGCAGATTCAATTAATTCAAATGGGCTGCGACATCTTAACTCGGCCTTGGCCAAACAAATATAGTTTCTGAGCATAAAAGGAATACAAACCCAGTTTCAATTAATAATCGACCAAAGATGGGTTTAATCCAATATAGAATCAATTGCATAAATATGTACCAAATTATTTGATTGTTAAAATAAACTTATTAATTTTAATAAAATTAGTTATTTATATAACTGAGCAAAATTATATCAATATATTCACATAATCTACTACAAATATAAAATTACACAATTAATTTGGTTTTTAAGAAAAACCCCGCACGTATGTGCGGGTCGGTCACTAGTTTTGGTTATATTAGTTTCCAATTTCTAATTTCTTTCTCTCATTTCATCTTTAAATGTATCTATTTGTTTAAATTTATTTATATAATAAAAATACAATGTTTTCATATATGTTGCAGTTAAAAAAATTTAAACGGACGTATATTTATTTTAATCAATTATTTCAAAGAATTTATAACTACGAATAAACAGGAAGCTTGTTCTCAAGTGTCTAAAATTAAAAGTTTTATTTGGTTCATTATTTGAGAAAATTAAAACATTTCAAAATTTCAAAATATTTTAATATTAAATTTAAAAGATTATCAATATTGAAACTTTTAAAGTTTCGAAATACTAGAAAATGTTCAAACATTATGGCCATGAATGGATGCTGTTATTTAATTCAGTTTTTGGATTTAGTTTTTATTTTTTGAATTATAGATTTTAGTTTTAGATTTTTCTATTAGTTTTTTGTATTAAAAATCCCAAAAATATGGTTTTTGGTTTTTGAGAAAATAACGTACAACAACTAAAATCTAGGTTTCCTAAATTTTAGGAAATTTAAAAATCTAAAATCATGAATGGAAGATTACAAAAAATAGTTTTACTACATTTTAGAGAATCCAAAAATTAAAAATCTTAATTGTTTGAAAATGAGTATTTGAAAAAAAAAAAAACCAAAATCTCTTCCAAAATCTACTAAACATTCAAGACCTATATATGTATATTTGATCTTCACTCGACTTTAGTTTTGTTTCCAGCTTAATCGATGGTTTCAACGGCGAAGGACGATAACAGAAAACTTTAGTCTCGTCCAGAGCCGTGCAAAGACTTATGAACACCATAAGCAAACAAAAAAAAAGCCTCAGTTTATATAAAAAAAGTCTTCTGAAATTAACCATAATCATCATATAACAAAAGTAAATAAAGAAACAAAAATAAACAAAAATACTTGTCGACAAAAAAATAAAAAATAAATAAACAAAAATACTTAATGTTGAACATCTTTAGTTCTTAAACATATGTTTTCCTTTTGGTGAGAAAAAAAATAAATCAGAATTAATTAAATTTTAATGAGAAAACGTTGAAAGAAAACAAATTTCACTGTGTTACCTACGTTAGAATTAAAAAAAACGAAAAAACTGGACGAGGAAAGATAAAGCTAGCAAAAACAATCTTTAACCCTAATTAAATTAGGTATGTGGGTATGTGTCATATGTATTTAGTTCTTTTTAATTAATTAATATCTTATACAACCTATGTTTATTGCTGTAAGTTATAAATTATAAGCCCATCATATTCTGTTTATATAAATTTAATAGAAATAAACTATATAACATTATCAAAAGTATGCCCTTAATCTTTTTACAAAACTGGATGCCATAAGCGGCAGCTTCTTTTTCCTTCACGTCTGCACGGCTTTGGACTCTCCTCAAGCTACACGTATCTTTGGGTGTTGACATGTGTCTTGAGATATGTGTAAATTGAGGAAACTAAAATGATACAATGTTGTTGAATCTTTCTTCTCTAAGTGATGCAATGTTGGACATGTTGAACTTTCATTAGTCTCTGAATCTCTGTAGTTTGCTGTCTGGTTTTGCTCGGTTGTTGTGTGTAATGTTTTTTTGTTTTTTGTGTGTGTAATGTTTACATCAATAAAATCTGAAAGAAAAAGAAAAGCTTAACAAAATCTATGGGCTGGGCCTAAAGTATAAAGAAGAGTATTGAGGAGGCGAGAATCCGGTTCGATAGATATAGCTCGACCCGTCCAATTCGACCCGTCCGAACCGACCCGAAGGAAAGGGTGAGTCCACCACGCTAGTCCGTCGGGGAAGATACCACGCGACGGAAACGACGAACACGAAACTCGGAAAACGTCAAATCAAATCTCTCAGATCGGTTTAGGAATCTCAATATAACAATGTCGGCGGTTCTCACAGCCGGCGGAGGCTTAACTGCCGGAGATCGCAGCATTATTACGGCGATAAACACCGGCGCTTCGAGTCTCTCTTTCGTTGGCTCAACCTTCATCGTTCTCTGCTATTGCCTCTTCAAAGAACTTCGAAAGTTCTCTTTCAAGCTCGTCTTCTACCTTGCTCTCTCTGTAATTTTTCTCGTTCTAGTCTTTCGATTTAGTACCAGAAGCTAATTCGTACAAGTTCCAGTCAGATCATATCATGCTAGATCTAGGATTATGTACTATTATGCTTCCTTCTTCTTCGATTCTTCGCACTGTGAACTGTTACATGGCTAAGTTCGATGTGAAAATTACGTTCTGGGATCAGTAGTGAGAATTTCGAGCTCTATTGCTGATTATCAACGATGCTTTTGATTGTTTCAGGATATGCTCTGCAGTTTCTTCCTAATCGTTGGGTATGCTTATCTCTATCTTATTTCAATTTTGTGGTGACTCTCTTCTTGAGTTTTGTTTTGATAAGATGATTGTTACCTCTTGATCATGTAGGGATCCTTCAAAAGGGTTCATTTGTTATGCACAAGGCTACACTACTCATTTCTTCTGCGTTGCTTCGTTCTTGTGGACAACTACTATTGCTTTCACTCTTCATCGTACTGTGGTCAAGCATAAAACTGATGTAGAGGATTTGGAAGCTATGTTTCACTTGTATGTTTGGGGTATGCAAAAATATACTCTATTATATCAATGTTTGTACATCTATTCTTTTCTTAAGGATTTGATGTCTATTTCTGCATTGGTAATTTAGTAACGTAAGTGTCTGATTTGGTCTACTTTTTTTAGGAACTTCCTTGGTAGTGACTGTCATACGTTCTTTTGGTAATAACCATTCGCATTTGGGGCCGTGGTGCTGGACGCAAACTGGACTCAAGGGAAAGGTATTAGAGAATGCATATTTGTCATTTGAGCATAAATATTTCAAATTCCTGAGCTATATCATGCGATTGGTTACTTGTTTCCTGTCAAAGACATTATAACTTCGATTTGTGCAACTATGTCACACCTTCATACTGGAACTTATCTCATCTCCTGACTTGCAGGCTGTTCATTTCTTAACATTTTATGCTCCTCTTTGGGGTGCTATTCTCTACAATGGGTTTACATACTTTCAAGTGATACGGATGCTAAGAAACGCTAGACGTGTATGTAGCCTTCTATCAACATTGTCTTCTGAATGTAGTCACATAACATCATTGATACACTTGTTAGTGTACTGATATGGTGGTATTATTTTCAGATGGCAGTTGGAATGTCAGACCGAGTTGATCAATTTGATAACAGAGCAGAGTTAAAGGTCTGTCTTTTCTGTATTGCCTATACCAGTTATGTATCTTGTGAATGACTTTGTGTCATCGTTTAAACCTTGCTGCTTGTTTCCTGAAATTCACAGGTGTTGAACCGATGGGGATACTATCCTCTCATTTTAATAGGATCATGGGCATTTGGCACTATTAACCGTATTCATGATTTCATCGAGCCAGGCCATAAGATCTTCTGGCTCTCGGTTCTTGACGTTGGGACAGCTGCACTAATGGTAGCAAAACCCTCAAACTATGCAAGTTATAAGCAATTTATAAAATTATTTATCAATCACCTTTCCTCATCCAAGTCCGTGTTCTGAATATGTATTTTCAGGGTTTGTTCAACTCAATAGCATATGGTTTAAACAGCTCAGTGCGTCGAGCAATCCATGAAAGACTAGAACTGTAAGTCACCACCATGCTCCTTGGTTTTCTATATTCCCAAGAATCATTGAAGCTTGATTTTCCTGACTCATTTGGTCTGCTAGATTTCTGCCGGAACGGTTATACCGATGGCTTCCAAGCAATTTCAGACCAAAGAGTCATCTGATTCTACATCAGCAACAACAGCAGCGAAGCGAAATGGTCTCACTCAAGACAGAGGACCAGCAATGACACTTAACATTTCATGGACCACAATAACCAGAAAGCGGCTGATGATAATAGCATATGGATGGAGATGGGTAAGTTTCTTTGGTTGTTTGCTTTGTGTTTTATTTCCTTTTACGTTAATGAGTGTACCTACGTTAATGAGTGTACCAATTTGGTCATTGTGGTTCTGTCTCTTAGATATGGTGAAGGAGGATGCACAACAGGTCGTCAATGTATATGAATCATTCTTTGGGACCACGAACTTGACAAATCTATATTTTTTTTGTATGAAAAAAATTATTGTGAGATCTTTTGATCTTAATTACAAAGATCTTGTTGTGACCGATTTCGAATTTCAATATCCACAACAGAGCAGTCTAAATTCACAACAAGACCCAAAAAAAAGTTCAAGGACCACTCAGATTCATCATCTTGAATACGAATTTTCACAAAACTCATCTTTAATGGAGGAAGTGGGTAGAATGACATCTTCACAGACCAATGACAAAACAACATCACCCAAATACATAACATCATTGATTGTTGTAATCTCAAATAGTAAACAAACAAATCATGCGCAATTATAAGTAATCATATCTGCAATTGCATGTCCTTCTTATAAAGGAAAAAACTAGAAACAATCCAGCGAAACCCAAAACTATAAGATCGTCGAATAAACCTATCCCCTCTTGGTTTACAAGATGCATTGATTAATGCAGTGAAGGTGACTAAACCGGGGCTGATTAATTTGTTTTTTTCTCCTTGCGAGAGAGCAAAAGTATAATCACAGAGCCCCGATGTAGTCACTTTCAATGCATTGATCGACGCAATAACTGGGTTTAAACACCAAGGTCAAGCAAATAGAGAGGGATGATTGATCATAGCTTCCACAGATGGAATCTTCAATGAGGATAGAAGAGAGATAAGAAGGTTTTTAAGTAAAAGAAGGTGAAGATGAGAAAGACTAAAGCGGCGTCGATTAGATAGGTCAGAGAAAATTATATTTTAAAAAAAAACCCTAATTTAGTAATGGGCTGATATATGGATACTTGCGGCCCAATTGGTTTTGTCTCGATTCTAACTTCTTCTTTGGGTCTACAGTCTTACTAGTGTAAACGACAAAAGTTGCACTGCAACTACAACAAGGCAAATAGGCAATGTCTTCTTCTAGGTTCGATGATGACTAGCAAATTTTTTTTTTTTTTTTTTTTGTATAATTGGGAATAAAACTCAACACTAAAAGTCTACTTTTACTCATTAAACTACATTGTTGTTTTGCTTCTCATTCAATCTAATGTCATGACACATGACTCATGTGTTATTCGAGCAAAATGAATTTAACTGACTTTCATAATTACACTGACTTTCATAATTGTTGATTTTAAATTATTTTGTTCATATGAAATAATCACTTTCAATATTTTCTTGTTAACCTAGTATTCTAAAACTTCTTTAATTAATAAGGAAAATATTCATTTCTAATGGCATTTGTTAATTTCGCCAATTTGATTTCAATATTTTAGTACTTTAAAAATATATAAAAATAAATTTTTACACATTATTTTTGGTTTATATGGTTCTACTTTTTATTGGTTTAGTGTTGGATATTAAGTGTGTATTTTATAAGAACAAATCAATATATCTAAGTAGCCGAAAATGACAAATCTACAAAATCATTAAGAAAATGAAAAAATTATATAGTTTAGGTGATAAGATATATAATAAATTATATTTGTCTTTTTTTAAAAGGATTTAGCGAATGTTGTCAAGTATATATTATTTTGTTTCATGATATGTAATGTGTTCATGAAAATCTCTAAATCCTTAACACATTACATGACGAGTTAACTATAATGTAATACATGATCAAATGTGTTATAATCCTTATAACATACGCTAAAAATAATTATACCTATAAAGAACATCACGATATATAAACTAATAAAACATATCAAAAAATTATTTTAAAATATAATATATACAAACTCTAAATAAAATGAAAATTCAACCCCATGCTATAGCATGGAACATGATCTAATATCTCATTCTTATATAACTCTACTACTAGTACATGTTACCTGTCGGAAACTAACGTGAAACAAATTGTGGTGTAATATCAGTAGACTAATATATCAAAAGAGAAAATCTAACTTTTAAGAGAGAAGAAAAACAATCATGATGAAAAGAAAGAAAAAAAAACTATTTTGATATATACAACTTTTAGAAAAATAAATAATATATATCTTTACATAAATAGTTTTACCTGTTTCTAGAAACTGTAGTCGAAGTTTCTTTATATTTCGATGTTATTAATGGAAATTTCGTTATCTAAAAAAGAAAAAAAAAAAAAAAAATCAAACCAACAAAGAATAATAAAATTGAGAAGATGGGAGAAGGAGGAAGCAAAAGAGATATAGTTGCGTGTTCTTGTCTCCAAAATTAAGCCGCCACTTTTTTCTCTTCTTCTTTCTCCTCAAATCTCACAATCTTTGTATATTTTTATATAAAACATACATAGCCATAGAGAGACTCATATAAATAGCTTAGTCTTCTTCTTTGTTATCATCTCTATCGATATAGATGGTAACAAAGGGAATGCGTGTTGGTAAATACGAGCTTGGGAGGACACTCGGAGAAGGCAACTCTGCAAAGGTCAAATACGCAACGGACACTGTTTCTGGCCAATCATTCGCCGTCAAGATCATCGACAAGTCTCGTATCACTCGTCTTAACGTCTCCTTTCAGGTCTCTTCTCTATTACATATACATATACCTCGATCTTGATTTCTCTCGAGTTTGATTATAATGGTGGAAGATTCGTGTTTAACTCTTAAACCATTTCTTGATTTCTCATGAGTTTTGATTATAATGGTGGAAGATTCGTGTTTTAACTCTTAATCCATTTCTTGATTTCTCAGATCAAAAGAGAGATACGAACACTCAAAGTTTTAAAGCATCCAAACATTGTGAGGTTACATGAGGTAATTAAATTAAACTTGTTGCATCATTTACTGTTTTTAAGGAAAATGCGAATTCTATCCAAAGTTTTTATTTATTTATTATTTAAGTTTGAGTAAAACAGATTTTGGGGTTTATCATTTGAGTAAACAAATTACAACGTTTTTGATGAAGACTAAAAACATTAATAAACCTCTAAAACTTTTTTTTGGTAGCTTGCGTATAGAAGTATATTAAAAAAGTTAACCGTCATTTTTGTTAATTAATATTTTTTAATTTTCGTTTAATCCGTGACCACGCAATTGCCTTTTCAGGTTGCTTATTAGCTCTACTTAACGTATACAAATAACTTGATTTTTTCTTCATGACATTCCAAATAATTGGTAGACAAAAGATGTTATGAGGATGACCAATTCAATTATGAGCTTAGGTCCCAAAAATTGACCATTTTGGGGTAATGACAATGCAAATGCTGTCATCTCCACAAATTGCCTCATCTTTGTATTAAATTCCAATCTTTTTCATGCATTACCTCACAAAAGAGTTATTTATTACAATCTTTTTCAATAACGTGAACCCATTTTATAATATTTTATTATATCTTTCTTCATGGGTATTTACGATTACTTTTCTTCCAAGCAACCGATAAGGTTTTGGTTGTTGATTCAACGGAGACTTCTATTTTGCAGGTCTTGGCTAGCAAAACCAAGATTTACATGGTTCTAGAATTAGTCACCGGAGGAGACTTATTTGATAGAATTGTAAGCCTTCCTATTAGCTAGCTAGCTCCGGTGACAGTTTTGTTAGTTACTATATACCAAATTAAATTTATAGTCTTAAATAATATGCTATGATATGTTGTCTTAGATTTCCAAAGGAAGGCTTCCGGAAATAAAAGGAAGAAAAGTGTTTCAGCAGTTGATTGATGGAATCAGCTATTGTCATAACAAGGGAGTTTTCCATAGGGATCTCAAGGTCTATATATGTTTACAAGTTAGCCATGAAACTTTGTTTATTGTATTGGCCAAAATGTTCTAATACTAAGTTTCCCGTTTTGCAGCTAGAGAATGTTCTTCTTGATGCAAAGGGACACATTAAGATCACTGATTTTGGCCTTAGTGCTCTACCTCAACATTTTAGGGTACTTACCAAATAATACCCTAAACCTAAATACATCAACAAAGCATGTTCCAACTTTTTTTTTCCGGTTTTGGCATGTTAGGAAGATGGGTTGCTACATACTACTTGTGGTAGTCCTAACTACGTCGCGCCTGAGGTTCTAGCTAACAAAGGGTATGATGGTGCAGCATCAGATATATGGTCGTGTGGAGTAATCTTGTATGTTATTCTTACTGGTTGTCTCCCTTTTGATGATACAAACCTTGCAGCTCTTTGTCGGAAGGTACTGTTTATTTTTCTTTATTTGCTTCTTTTCTATGTTTAGTTTATGTTTGAAAGAAACACACTCGAAGCTATAATCTTGTTTTCAGATATTCAAAGGAGATCCCCCAATACCAAGATGGATAACACCGGGTGCTAAAACCATGATTAAGAGAATGCTTGATCCAAATCCAGTCACGAGGGTGACACTCGCAGGTATCAAGGCCAATGAGTGGTTCAAACAAGACTATAGTACTCCTTCAAACTACGATGATGACGATGAGGCATACTCATCAATCCAAGAAGATGTAAGAATCTGGTTCATTTCATCATGTTGATTCCTATGAAATTTGGATCAAGTAGTGCATTGGCTTTACTCAATTCTTGTTATTTTTCTTGTGATGATGAAGGGATCTGAAGAAGAGAATAGTCCTGATTCTCCAACCATCATCAACGCGTTTCAGTTGATCGGAATGTCTCCATTTCTCGATCTCTCAGGTTTCTTTGAGAAAGAGGTAACCATATATACAATTCTTGTCCTTGTTTACATTGTTTCAAGATTGTCCTTTGCTTTGACTAAACGTTCGTTGCTTTGTTTACGAATCAGAAAGCATCAGAAAGACAGACAAGATTCACATCAAATAGCTTAGCCACAGATTTGTTAAAGAAAATAGAAACGATCTTTAGGGAGATGGGTTTTTGTTTACAGAAGAAACAAGCAAGGGTAAGATCTCTTTTGACTCTTTTGATCTCTTCTTGCTCTTTTCTACTACTTGAGGAATTGTAAGTATAAGTTAAGTCCTTGGGGAACTAATAATGTTGCTTCAGATCAAAGCAATCAAAGAAGAAAGCACTCGAAAAGGGCAATGCGGTTTATCAGTAACGGCTGAGGTTTTCGAGATAAGCTCGTCTCTGAATTTGGTTGAACTTAGAAAATCATATGGTGATTCATCTCTATATAAACAGGTACTATATATATGTAGTCTTTATATATATATATATATATATATATATATATATGTAGTCTTGTAACATTATAAGTTAGTATCTGTGTCTATAATTATTCAATCTTGACCCAAGAAAATAACTTGAAGCATTCGATTGCTGTATGCATGCAGTTGTACGAGAGATTATTGAATGAAGTGGGATCATCATCACATGTAGAGGAGCTTTTAACGTAGCAAATATCATGCCTATTCGAAAATTTGAATGGGGTGCTATATATGTTCAAGATCACTGGATTTATATGTAAATATCAACTCGATTTTTTTGTTGTATGCAGCCAAAGCTCAAAAGACTCTTATATTATACATTCTTGAAAATGTTTATTTTCTTGGAAACTCAAATTCGATAATTTAGGACCTTTAATTTGTTTTGTGGTCCAAAAAAATATATTGAATTATTTCATAACTCATTTATACACGTAAAAAAAAAAACTATACTTTAGTTTTTATTTCCTCCACATAGAAGAATAATCATCCAACTTATCATATAAAATATATATATTTTTGAACCCACAAAAAAAACAAAATATGTTTAAGACCAAATTTTTTCTAATGAATTTGATTTAGTTATCTTGTATGGGTATATAATATACAAGATTTTGTTTTTGAGCCTTTCTTTAACAAAACATTATATTTTAAATATCGTTTCGTGATTGACTGATTGTATATATATTTATATACTTTTTTTTGGTCATTTGAACTTTTATTAAGTGATATAACATTATACGTTTTACAACTTACAAAAACAACCTGATATAACATAACAAAATATATAGTTTTTATGTTTGAATGTACCAAAAGATTCAACTATGGAGATTTATATTAACGACGACAACATTCTATATTTGTTAGAGATTGTGTAAGATAAATCCTCTCATGTTCATGTGACAGATTGTGTAAGTAAAACAAAGTGGACAACATTATTTTTCAATCAAACGGCTCTATTAAAGAGAGACATGGTGATGGTGGAGCTTCGCTGTCAAATCCTGTTTTATTTATTTATTTTTTATTTCAATTTAATACTAGTGAATAATAATAATAATAATAATAATTTTGTTTTTTCAAATAAAGCAAAAAATCTTATAACACTGACACAAAAATTCTCTTTTTCGTTATTCTTTCTTTTTTTTTTCCGGTGAGACGAGAGCTCTGCCGCGTAATTGTTCTCCGATCTTTTTCCTATTTTAGTTTTACCTTTCGTTTCTACAAATTAGGGTTCTTTTTTTGTTTTTTTGGATGTGGTAAAGCTTTGATTTTTATACGGGAAGGGTTTCTGGGTTTTGTTCCTTAGGGTTCGTCGAGTTGAAAGAACGGAAAAGTTCCGTTTTTTTTTGATAATTTTGGAATCGCCGGAATCTGAAATTTTCCGGCAGATATGGCGTCTGACCTTCCGATGAGCCCTCATTTAGAGCAGATTCACGGAGAAATCCGTGACCATTTCCGAGCACTCGCGTATTCCTCCTTTCTCCTTCCATACTACTAATCTCTTCGATTTAGTTTACTAGTTTTTAGGGAGCTACATTGTAATTGAGTTTCACAGATGAGGAAACAAGAGTAGGATATATTAATATTAGTAAGTGTTTTTGGTGAAGATTTTTCTCTAAACGAGAGAGTTCAATATCTTTTTTGCAGGAATGGGTTTCAAAGGTTGGATAAGATTAAGGATTCTAATAGACAAAGCAAGCAACTTGAAGAACTTGCTGACAAGATGCGAGAGTGTAAAAGGTATTTCTTTTTCAAGTCTTGGATGCTCACTTTGGTGATTATGTTTCGCCTAGGAGGATATTTTGAGATGAATGAGATGCGTTATCATGAGTAGAAAGGAGTATTCTTTGTGATCAAGGTTTATTCCATAGTTATCTAATGTCAATGTGCTTTATGTTAGGTTGGTTAAGGAGTTTGATCGTGAACTTAAAGATGGTGAGGCTCGGAATTCTCCTGAAGTGAATAAGCAATTGAATGATGAGAAACAATCTATGGTGAGTTTACTTCTTGTTACATATAATATGTTTGTTGATGAAACCTATGGAGGCCTTGATCCTTTCGAGATTCGTGTTAGTTAGTGTGATATTTATGAAGTGATTATTGGAATATAAACGTAGCTCCTTTTACGGGTTCAACTTTCCCGCTTCATTAGTACTTTCTTTTGAGTCATTGGTATATTCTGAGGGTTTTTGTGTGAATCTCTAGATCTCTCTACTACCTAAATTTCTCGCTAGCATCTGGTTTTTATGTACTTTCAAAATCTGCTTGATGATATTTCCATTGATTTATTGACAGATTAAGGAACTCAACTCTTATGTTGCACTAAGAAAAACGTAAGTATGTCCTCTTTCAAGGAGCTGCATTGTCTGTACCTATATATGATTTTCTCATATACCAATCAGTATGTGCTAATATACTTATCATTTGTTGTGTGGGTACAGGTACTTGAATACACTCGGCAACAAGAAAATTGAACTTTTTGATACGGGAGCTGGAGTCAGTGGTGAACCTACAGCTGAAGAAAACATCCAAATGGCTTCATGTGAGTCCGTGTAAATAGATCATCTATTCAGTTTCTTTTCTTCTACAACCAGTAAAATATCAAATATTGACATTTGGAAGCTGAAACTGCTTGTAGCTACATGTATTATAGTATGTAGGATAGTTAATCGTGCACTATGGGCTTATGGTCTGGCATCACTTGATGTGTTTCAGTAAATTTCTAGTTGAGGGTAATAATATATGACTGTAACTGGTAGTATGAGATTGGATTCCTGTTATTTTTTGGCCTACATGATATCTAGATTGAAGTGTGTTCCAAAAATAAGTGTCCTTGAAGAACCACCTGTGGAACAGTAGGTTATGACTCTGATCTTATCGTTTATATAGCAATGTCAAACCAAGAGCTTGTTGATGCTGGAATGAAAAGGATGGACGAGACCGACCAGGCTATTGAACGCTCTAAACAGGTAAGTTACAGTAAGAAGTGTATACCACTCAGGCTTTGATACTCTGGTAACATCCGGTGCTTCTTTCCAGGTTGTGCATCAGACACTCGAAGTTGGCACTCAAACTGCATCCACTTTAAAGGGACAGGTAAAGCATTCACCACCCCTTCCTGATATTATTATGTGGCGTACAATCCCAAATAAACTGACCTAAAAAATTTCAGACAGATCAAATGGGCCGCGTTGTGAACGACCTAGATACAATTCAGTTCTCTATCAAGAAAGCTTCGCAGCTGGTGAAAGAGATAGGAAGACAGGTTTGTATACACTCTCATAGGACTTCGTATTCTATTCTCATACACCTCAAAAGATCAATTGGGGCTAATTAATTTCACTGTTCCCATTTAACCCCAATTCTTTCCTGTCTCAGGTAGCTACCGATAAATGCATAATGGCGTTCCTGTTTCTGATTGTATGTGGTGTTATAGCCATAATCGTTGTGAAGGTAATCACCATTGGACTCTCCCATTTTTCTCATTACGGCCCAAATGAAGTTATGATTTCGTACGCAAGTTAAAACTCTGGTTAAATAAAAACGCAGATCGTGAACCCAAACAACAAAGACATCAGAGACATCCCTGGACTAGCTCCTCCAGCGCAATCGAGAAAGCTCTTGTACTTCAGAGAATAGGGCCGAGAAGGAAGATTTGGTCCATATTACACTTTCTGTTGCGTTTGTGTCCTTTCATGAAAGCGGGTTGTTCTTCTCGTTTGAATCTGAGCTTTAATTAGAGTTTTGTATTATATATCATTCTTTTTTTACTTATGACCATGTTGTATTATATATAGCAAGTTCAGTAAATTTCTATAAGATCCATTCTTATTCTCCAACCAACACTATGAACTCCATAATGTCCAACATTCTTGTAACTCTTGTTTGTTCTCTCCAATTTCTTTTCAACATTTTCATCTTCCACCAATTTGTTATACTAGTTTAAGAAAATTTATAGCATTCCAGCTAATATAAAAAGTAAAGAGATCAGATCCAGGGCCACACTGACTCAGAACTGTTTGGATCATAAAGACCGACCAAGGCTGGTCTGGAGCTGATGCATCTAGTGAACACATTTATAACTCTGAGAGACCCTACAAATAATTTTGCCATTTGCGTTTCCTTTTTTAAGACTAAACATTGTTAAGTAATCCGAGGTAAATTCTATTCGTAAAAATGTTTGGGTTCCAAAGGAGATAATGTCTTTCACCTGATGAGTGAAACAATATAGGGTCATTTTTAGACAGCGGTGTGGGTTCCAAGCTGCGTCCGCCCGATATGCGACAAACGCGATGTGATCAGAGGGGCTTCTTCATCGTTAAGTTCCAATCCTCTGGGGCTCCCCCCATCTGACGAATTCTTCTCCTTCCAGTCCTGCACGATTATTTGGACCAAATCCATATGAATACATACATGTAGGTGATGCTCTAGCTATCTCTTAATTCTAATGGCGGGTTTTTACTAACTTAAAATGGAATGTCGAGTCTGAATCCAAAATCAAAATTGATCCAAAGAAACAGAACCAAACCCTAATATGGTTAAAACTTGTATATCCAAAAACCGGAAACAGGCATAGCTAATATTTAATTTCTCTAAAACGGACTTGATAAATTTTCATTGAAAACCTAACTCGGTCCGAAACCATTGAAACTGAACCACATAGGATTAGGTTTTACTTTGGTGACGATAATTCGTAAACAGACAACCCAAACTGGACCTGGATTGAACATCCCTTTCTACTTTTCATAGCTAGTGAATGGAATATGTAAAATTCAATTAACAATGTATGGACTGTACCTTTGTGATTCGATCAGGGAGGCTGTCCGTGCTTGGTGGAATTGCTTTTACATCCTTGATTTTTATGTAATTGTACATTACAACACCACAGAGCGCTGTGCCAAACACATATGACAAGAAGGAGATATAGTTAACCAAAGCACTACATTTAGAGCTTTATTCAAATAAATATTGGGATGGAAAGAAACAAACCTATTGCATATCCAGTAATGTTCAGCCCAGTGATTGTGGACTCAGGAAATATGACAGTGGAGAGGGCTATGAGAATCCAATCTTTCAGAACCCCAGCAACCCTGATGGTTACAGCGCCTGTTCTTCCGATTACTAAGAATATGGAGAAGTTTAAGGCAAGTGCGCAGAGAGCGTTTGAGAAAAAGATCCAGAAGTTGAATTGGATCTGCGTGACATCGATATTTGGTTTCTCCAATACATACCAAGGCAAGGACAAGAAAACAAAGCTGTACAAAATCAGGGAAAGAGCTGTAAGTTTAATGCGCAGTAGAATAGATTTCTTGCATCTAGCAAGAGAAGATAATACATGATGTTGACAAACATGCAACTTGGTACAACATACGACAAACAAGAACAAGAGGTCACATTAAGTCCGAAGTTTTCATCTTTAGCTGATTTTCAAATAAGAAAGTTTTGAGCTGTGTTAGGTTTCTCGACTGCGTACCTGCATGGAGCTATATAGTATAAGCTGGTGACTGGATTTAGTGTCAATCCCTTCTTTTGAAGAAGAACTTGAGTTAGCACCAGTCTCAATGCTTCAGCAAAGATTCCCATGACCTGGTAGACTGTGCCGATTACATTGAAATTAATTTCGCCATAGGAAGATACGACAACTCCAACACTGACCAGCACCATGTTCATGAACACATCACACCTTGCTTTGTCCGTGCCACAGACAACAGCCATTAGGAATGTTGCTACCGGCACTGTCATTCCATATTCACGTGTTAAAAAGCTTCACAACATGATCAACGATTCATATACTAATATAGGGTTTGAGCCAATAAGGAAGTTGTGTATTCACGTACTTAGTGCTTTGAGCATCTGGATGAAGGCAACTGAAATGTGCAAATATGCAGTATTTCCGAACCTGTATAAAGGAGTAAACAGAATACTCAAGAGACAATTTAGACAGCAGGTTTGACAAGCACCAAAAAAATTCAGAATTTGAAATCTACAGTATTACTAGGATAGAGAGCATCTATAAACCTAATATGTACCACTGTATAAGGAAAAAAGGCTTACCACAGGCTGGATGCAAAGAATGCACTTATAGGTACCACACAGGTCACATATCTGGAGTTACGGAAAATATGTTAAAAAGGAGAAAAATGATAGAAACAACATACAGTATATGCCAAAAAATGGAAGCAAAACTGTATTAAGCTGGCTTACATTTCGAAAGTCATTTTAACAGGAGAGACAACCTACATAAGAAAGAAGATACTCATTACTTAACTACTATAAGGATTTGAAAAAGTCATAAAGAAGGTCAGGTATGCCAAATGAGAACCCCTTATAAGATGAACATGAAGCATACTCCAAAGTCCAAACAAAAGAACAGTCTGTATCATAATATCAAATAAAAGTATAACTGTAAACACTGAGTTTATTATACCTTGAAAACCCGAATAAGAAGGAAGGCCACAAATCCAGAAAATCCCATATGGATCATTGTTAATGTTATAGGAAGTGGAAAATTGAAGTATTTTGGAGATAGAACCCACTGCAAAAGAAATCCAAAAACGAGAAATAGAAAATAAAATCAGGATATCAAAGACTATGAATGAGTACTGTCAGGCAAAAAGGTCTTCGGCCATGGTTTTATGGTTTCATTTCATACACACAACATTAGATTCAACCTCAATTCTAAATTCTAGTCTCAGAGATACAACCTATAGCAAGCAAACAAATCCAACAGCTACACATCCTATATAAAGATCTGCATAAATACCAGATATGTATGTCACAGAAAGTTAAAGTAGCCACTGCAGTCACCTAGTTGTAACGATAGATACTAATTAATGTCAGCTTCAAGAACTTGAAAAACAAGAAACAAGAGTTGCTTATAGCCAGTAACAAAGACTATGAAAGAGTACTCTATGGCTTCATTTCATTTACACAAGATTCAATCCAAACCTCAACTTCAAGTTCATAAAGCCAATGACATGCAAAATTCAACAGATACACAAACTATATAAAGATCTGCAGAAACATTCAGATACATTACAGAAAGGTAAAGTAGTATTTGCAATCACCTTGTTGTACAGTATAACTCCAGAAGAGAGAAGAATGTAGATCAGTAAGTAGATATAGGTAAGTACAAGCGTCTTGTTTATCATCTTAGCCATCTTCCTCCTCTCCCACTTCTCAAGTTTAAAAAAAAAACGCAAAGCCTAAATAAAAAAAATCACCGTAGATGCAGTTTCCTCGATAGTCACAATACAGGGAAGTATCCCACAACACGCAACAGATTCAGAGATTCCATAAGACGAAATCTGAAAACTTCCAAAAACAAATCAATCAGAGAAACTTCAGATTCAAAAACCAAATCGGCATTGAAAGCTACTCAGCACAAAAACCCCTCAAAGAAATCCTAAAATCAGTAACGAGAAATCAGAGAGATCGCAATCAGATCCGGAGAAGCAATACCTCGAAACGAGAAGCCGAAATGCGAATCTCGGCTTTGGGAGAAAACAAACGTGTGAATCTAGTTTAGCATAACGAACGAGATCAAGATACGAAGAAAACTATTCCGATAACTTCAAAGAAGTTTTCCGATGAGAGTGAGAGTGAGAAGAAGATGATATAAATGCGGCAGAGCCTTCGATGGCGAATCAATGATGAAGATTTAGGGAGAGAGAGACGTAGAAGTGTGAGTCAGAGCTTTTGCTTTGCTGCTACTGTGTGTTTGTGCATATAATGCTCTCTGCATATCTCTCTGAAGAAAGAAAGAGAGAGATTACTTTTAAAAAAAATGGAAATTGAAGAAATTAATAAACGACGGTGGAGATGAAATCTCAACACGTAAATCTTAAATCTAACGGCTATGGTTTTATGTCCTTGACGTGGGACTATATATATATTTTTTTAATTTAGTTATGAAATATTTATAGATTTTGATGATGATGGGTCTATTATGTTCCAAACCTATATATATCCCAATCTCAATAAAATGAAATTTATTAGTTACTTTTTCATAATACGAATCTAATTAGATAAACGTACAAATAATGCAAACTAGATGCGCATTCTTAATTCTTAAACACGGTGAATTAGATAAATATTATTTCATGAAAAGAGTGTTTGTGAAAAATTGTTAATTCTTAAACTTAATGGTGTTTGTGAAAATTGTTCGAAAATTTGGTAATTCTTAAACTTCGTGGTGTTTTATGAAAATTGTTAATTGTAAATTATTCGTGTCTCATATGTCTCACAAATTTAATATCTCTAAGTTGTTATTGAAATTGTTATGTTTAACGATAAGATTATCATACAAATCTTGCTCATTATCTATTAAAAAAAAAAAAAAGATTTACACTTTATTTAGGATTAATGAGTAAATGACTAATGAGTTATCTTCGATCCTACACAAACATCATAGGAAAAATAAAATATGATAATTCAGAAACATATACGCAGGTCTTGAAAAAGGCAGACTTAAATGAAGAGTTAATGAGACAAAGGTCCACAAATGTATAAAAAATTACACAAAGAAAATAAAAATAATAATAATAGACTTTGATTAATCATCTTGAAGCAGATGCAGATGAGGATTGGGTAATTTGATTAATAGAGTTTCCTATGTGGGAGTCTAATGAGCTGAACGAGGAGGTTTTAAAAGAGGTTCAAGTGCCTTCACCACATTGCCCATGTCTGGTCTAAAATCTGATACTTGATGCACACATACTGCAGCTATTGCGGCCAGCTGCATCAAAAGCTATTGCGGCCAGCTGCATCAAAACATCACACCTCCTTAATTAAATATATTTAGCAACTAAAAATCAAACTCATGATCATGTTTTTTAGTTGTCATAGAGATTAGAGATGATGAATGCAGACCAAAACTATATAAAGCTTTTTTGTTTTGTTTTGGCCAAACTATAGGGATGATGAACATAGGCACGACCAAAAGCTAACCTAACCGTATTTCTAACCGTAACTAGACTGTTTATAAACCGTAACCGAACCGTTTTAAGCGTATATATAATGGTTAAGGTTATGGTTAAAAAAATTTATAATTGTTAACCGATGGTTAATTAACCATAACCATAACCATAACCGTATTAACTGTAACAGTGGTCATCCCTAATGAACATAACTTTGATTATAGTGTCCGCATGATAAATTAATTAGTCTTTTAAGTATACACTAATGCTGCAATGAAACAATGAGAGGGAAATATCAATGTTATTGGATTACGATACCTTGGCAACATCTTTGGGAGGGCACTCTCCGAGAAGTGTTGGATCAACGCATTGCTCCACTTTGTCTTTGCTTAGTTTAGGGGTTGCCTAAGATAGATAACACACAAGGTACATCTTTTTGATTATTAATCAACATAACTGTATTTCATTTATAGGCCAAGAAAAGTTTTCTTTCAGGATTTTGAACGTTTTTAATATATGAAGTGAGGTGAGTAACAAGGTATAATACAAGCTAAGCTAAGCAAACGAGAATCTGAAGCAGAAAAGATGCATTAAACGTTACCCATTTCACAAGTAAACTTTGTTCAGACGGTAAGGTATGATCGAAACCTTTACGACCTGTAAGGAGCTCCAGCAGAACAACGCCGAAGCTGTACACATCGCTCTTTGAGCTCGATTCTCCTATCGTTACGTATCTGAAATACATAACCCATAAAGTTTAAAAAGGACGTGCAGCAAACGGAAAACATATATATAGCCAATGTTTCATAATAAGGACATTACTCTGGAGCAATATAGCCAAAGTAACTTCCCAATCGCATGGCATGATTTGAGTGAAATCTAGCAGCAGACGCCATGTCAGGCAGATTAAAATCACCGATTTTGGCAACATCATCATCAAACAGAAGTACGTTGCTGGATGTGATGCCCCGGTGGGAAACTTTCTCATGTAAGTACTCAAGTCCTCTGGCTGCACCCACAGCGATTTTGACTCTTTGTTGCCACGACAAAACAGGACCTCCTAGTGCTCCCGTGACACCTTTTCTACCTGCATGAAGCAAAGACACCAACACGTATCTTATTTTTCAAATGTTTCAAGTATTACTGAGTCTCTGATCCCTATCCGAGCAATGGCATTACTTTAACCACGGGGCAACTTCATACGCAAGAACACGGAGAGGGCCATCAACACAATAGCCCATTAGTGCAACAACATTTTCGTGTTGAAATCTTGAAACCATTGATACCTGTTAAACCAAATCACTTACACAAATGATCCATATATACTATAATGTATATACGTACATAAATATATACCTGGGAAAGAAATTCTTGATCTGTCTGCTCACTAGGGTCAAGTTTCTTGATGGCAGCAGCTTTAGGGATTTAAAGAACACCGTAAAACACTGTTCCCTCTAAACTTTCGATTGATGCATTTGAACTATAATTATCGGTTAAATCTTTCAACTCAGCCACTGGAATGGCTGGTACAGGCTACATCAATAGACGGTTTGTGAACAACTGGCTGGTTCATGGGTGAATCTGCTCTTTGATGGTGGCGTCCACCTTTTAAAAAAAGAAATTAGAACTCTAACTTAGAAGGGGATCCCAACTTAGAAGTCAAAAGATCGACACAAAGAAAAACATTGTTGATGATATAGGTGAGCTATACCTTCTGGTTTGTGCGCTGGCCTTGGTCCGATATCAGCAGCGTTACGAAACCCACACCAACAAAATAAGCTCATTACACTCTTTGATAATGGGTCCGATCGATTCTATTGGTATAATATGCCGGTACTTCGAGAGACTCCTTAGTTAATCTTATTAATGTCTCTCCCATATAATTTAGGGTACAAACCAAAAAACCCTAAAGAGAATTTAAGGAATGTTCTAAAAATTCCCATAATCCTACACTAAACTATATAGAAAACTAATCGGTTGCCCGCGCTACGCGCGGGAGTTTATTATGTTGTTTATGAGTAATTAGTTCGTATTTTATTTTCTACTTATTTTTTCACTATACCATACTTTACTTTTTAAAAACTTAAATTGTGTTTGTATAGATAACTATTGAGTTTTAGATTCATTAGTTGTTGAGAAATTAAGTGTGTATAGTATAAGTCGAAGTGTGAGCGTAAATGGAAGTGCGGTTGAGAATCATTGAGAAACGTGTGCTATTAGGGTTTTTATCAAATATTGATGTAGATGTTAATATTTTGGGCCCTTTTATATGTTGGCATGAAATTTGAACATGATTTGTGGGTTTCGAGCGGATTGTTATATTTTTAATTGTTTACATTATCTCTTTATATATTGTCATAATTTATTATTTTTTGTTTTACGTTTTACTTTTTTGGATTTGTCGTACTTTATATCTCGTAATGGTCATTTATATACTATTATATGTTTTTCTGATTTTATGTTTTATATTTTTTTTTGTTTTTTCATATGGAACAATTTTTAAATTTAACATATTAGTATAATTTACTTTATATTTAGTTTATTTCATTTAATATTTTTTTATTTTAATTTCCAATTTTATGAAATATAGTTAATTATTTATTTTGTTTATTAGTTTAACATATGTGTTGTATTGGAAAAAAATAGTTAAATTCATATTGGAAACTTTTAAAGAAATATTATTTTTATTTTTACCTTTTTATATGTTTATAAAAAATGAGAATTCATGTTTCGGTCCGACCTATCTCATTTATGTTAGAAAATTTTTTGAGACATAAATTAGATAGATTTATATTCTCAAAATTTCTTACTTTTGATCTATTCCCGTTAAATCCTATTATATTTAGGTTTACATTGTGTAAATATAATCATATATATATTTTAAACATTCACTAAAAACTATAATCTGTTATTTATGTATTTGTTTGTATAATCGATAATTAGTAAGTTTTTTAACTTTCAATCAATTATCCTTTTTAGTTTTATAATGTATAATATAAAAAAGACCTTTCATATTCATTTTTGAAAAACTTATTTACATAGGTTTAAATATTAAAATAAAATGATAAAATAGTATAATTAATTTTAAAAATTAAATAATAAAATGAGGTGAATGATGATGTGGTTTAAGGAGAAAAGAGAAAAAGTTAACTTTATATATATAGATTAGAAATATTCTAATTATAACTAACTAAACCGCGTACTTGAGTCGGTGTCTTTCACTCTTACAGAGAAACAAACGAAACAGTGTATGTCGGTGTATATAACCATTATCAAACCCGACCCGACCCGTATTCGAAATTCTCGTTTTATATATGTTTCCGTTCAAATCATTATCATACGTTACTCTTAATTAAGTCTTATATGGGCATAATAATTTGTAACGTATAAAAACATGATACTATATGAATTGCATTTATTTTCAATATTGAAATTTGAAATTTTAGAACTGTACTGCTTATTAGAAAATTTGGGAAAATAATTCTGAAATTTTCTACATCATCCAAAAAAAAATTTCTTGAAAATTAACTCTTACAAAATTATTTGAAAGTTGACTGTAAGAGCTGTAATAATTAAAGATAAGTCACATATTTTTTTTTGTTACTGTTGCGATGAAGATATAAAAAGGAAATAAAATCTCTTAATTTCCTTAAAAATATATTTAATTGGACCGTTGTTAGATTAATATCAGTTTCCTTTTTCTTTTGAACTTATTAACGCTTAATATATGTAATCGGACCGTTGTAAATTGTTTCAATATTGAAATTTGAAATTGTAAAACTGTACTGCTTAGGAATTAAATTTCTTAATTTCCTTAAAATTTATATTTAATCTGACCGTTGTGACTTGTGAGATTAATATAAGTTTCCTTTTTTTTCTTTTGAACTTCTTAATTAATTAATTTCTTAATTAACGCTCCTGCTTCTTCTTCTTCGTTCTTCCTTAGAGAGAAATAAAAACTTCCCTTCTTCTTCTTCTTCTACGTACATACAGAGATCACTGTGAATTCCGATGAAGATGATGATCCATCCAAGTAGAGAGAGAGACATATTGAAATCAAAGCAAACCGAGGCGATATGATGATTGGTGATCCGTAAGGGTAAGTATTTATATCTCATCGTTTCGTTTCGTTTCGTTACATTGTTATTGATTGAATGATCGATCAGATCGACCTCCTCCTCTGTCTTCTTCTTATTCTTCTTCTACAGTCTAAATCAATATCGATTCAGCGAAGAGTAAAGGCGAAATTCCAAACTCAAAAGTGAAAGGGAGAAATCGAGCCGTCTATTGATTTGAATGGTATTTTGTAAAAGTCCTCTGTTTTTGTTGATTTGAATGGTGTAATTAGAGATGATGGTGTTTAGTGTCTGAGAATGATGAGTACCTAATTGTAAAATTTTGTTTATTTGTACAAATTAAATCCCATACTTTGTTGTAGATAAGCCCTATATAGGAAGTGGTTTGGTTGGATGCATGGTAGAGTTGCAACCATGTTTGTTGTACTTGTTTTTCTAATCATGACCAGGTACTTGACTAATGGTATTATGCTCCTGAGAGAAGCAATGCTCGTCAAAGTAAGTGATTATTCTCTACGAAAGAACATTAGCCACATATGATGTGCTCTTTGGTCTTCTCGACTAACATTGCTGAGGCTTCCCTAACTATATATGTGGTTGTCTACGTCATTGACCCACGAAGAATCTGAGATCAAAGAACATCAGAGAAGAATCCGTAGGCAAAGGCAAGTGCCTGCTCTGATCACCAGAGAAGAGTTTTTATAGGCTTTATACAGACTAGAGTTTCAGTACTGAGATGAAACACAGTTCTGACCTTGACAAAACTGGGTATTGATGACTAGGTGGTCCACTTCGGGTTTTATAGATCCTCATGCTCCTGAAACGCTGATGTAGAAGTTTAGAATTACTTGGAAGAGCACTGCATCTGCATGATGAAGGTAACTTGACAACGACATGTGAGTGATCAGTTCCCCTTGGATCCACCACATATGGTGAAGATGCTCATTGTGAGTTATCAATGTAACTGCTCAAACGAGATTCTCTCTGTTTCAGCCCTTGTCTCAGGTATTCCTTTCCTTTTTTTTTATATATATCCTTGCTAGCTTTGGTTAGGTATGTAGTTAAACTTGCTACCAATTTCCATTCTGCAACTAGAACTCATCTTTTTCTTCCATATGTATGATTATCATTCAGAGTTTTAGTATTAGGAGTTAGGTGTTATCACCAGCAGCTCTAGTCTGGGTTCTGCACACCCTTGGTTAGGGGAATCCTAAGTAAGTGCTGATGTAGATAAATACTAGTTGCAGTTTCTCAATTATTAATGGTATCAGTCTCATCGCCTCTATGCATCTTCTCATCTCTTCTGTTACCAAATCTTTCTCTGCTTTATTCGGCCTAGAGAGGCTCTAAAAGCAGCAGATGCTAGGTTTGGACACATTGATGATTTGTCTACCATGCTTTTAAGCAAAACAGTAAGTGATTATCCCTTTCTCTTTCTCTTTTGTTTATAGCTCTGCTTTAGACAGTTAAACATTACCGTAACTAACTTTTGTCAATGTATATTCTCACTCACAGTCAAGTAACTTTAAGCAAAACAGTAAGTGATTGTCCCAAATGGTGCTGTGAAAACTTCATCAACAACAAAGTGATGAAATCTGCAGACAATGTTAGACAACAACACCAAGTATGTCAAGACGAATTCAGTTTATATTGTTGTTTCCATTTAAACATTGCTCTCTTGTCTTCATCTCATGGTTAAAATTCTTGGTTGGCAGGTGGTTCATTTGCATCCATTAAATTGCTTGGATTGCACACAAACCTCAGTGGGTAAGTCCTTACATTTCTCCTCATGAAACGTGTCCCCCTAGAAGCTTTATAAGAAGAGAGAAAGGGAAAAGGGAAGAGAGCAAGAGCAGGAAGTGATGAACAATCATATATCCTCAGATGTCAATGTTTAATACTACCTTGGACAAATAGGTAGCTGCTCCCTCTCCTCTGTGGTTAAAATTTCGGAACAACCACTAAGTCGCCTGAGGATGCTCAATAGTCAAAGACAACACATCCCTTGCAGGTATACTATACACCTGCATACTTTTTTTAATAGATTAAGAGTAATGATTTTGATTAAAAAATTATACAAAAAAAAAAAAAAATCTTCTGCTTCTTCATTTCTGATTTTTATGATTTAAAACTTAATATCAAGTTTTTACCAAATAATTTTCAAGAAAATAACTATAATTTTTAATTTGACCAAACTGATTTCTTTATTACTTGTTTAATAATTGTTAAATTATAATGCGCCGAAAAGTTCGACATGTGGTCCGTTAGCTTGGTGTAAAAGTTCAACATGTTTTCATGGATTATAAATTTAACGCGCTTAGTTAATAAGTTTTAATGGTTTTTAATAAATTATACTTTTAACTGAATTTTTTTTATTATATATAAAATGTCTTCACTTCTTAACTATTTTTTTTTTGTGAAATGGCATGGTTATAGGCACTTTGCTTTTAGATTTTGCATATCATTATCTCAATTCAAAATTCTTTACTCTGTGTATAGCTGCAATCTACATAGCCACCATGTGTTCCATGAATGCACAAAACATATTATCAAGTTGCAGATCCTCACTCAAGATCGGTGCCCTCATCAGTCTGTTTACAGAAGGATCTCCCCCTCTTCAGTCTTCTCTTTCCAGCTATGTCTTCTCCTCCTCTGATGCCTCCCTATCTTCGATATTCTGCAATGTAAGCTCGATTATGGTAGTTGTTTCTTTGTTATTATCTATCAACGATTTCTCCACCTGTCTTGAGTCTTCCCCATACATAGTGGTTTAAAAGTGACTACTATGGTTTCGTTCTCATCAGGAAAAACACTACTGAACAAAAACATCAAATTAGTGATCTTCTTCATCAAGAAGAAATCAATGAAGACTTTAATCCATCATCTTAACCAAGTAATGGATCAAGGTTAGCGCATTCTTATTTTACAAGAAACTATTCATGGTTAAATAAAATCAAATCTAGATGATCTTTGGGAATTAAATTTCATGATAGAAATCATCGAAGTTAAATTAAGATATCATCTTGGGTTCCCAAACAGATCTAGCAATATAACGGATCCCCTTCCAAGTAAACATAGAGTGGTGAACATTTTTAATGATAACCCACATATGTGCATAGTCTTGACTTCCGGTAGAGCATCCTTTGTGATGGGTGTCTATTTAAACTCAACAATTCGAAGATCACATACATTCCATATACCCCTTTTGAGTACATGCGATCGAGCTAAGGTGTCAAGGACGTGAAACTTTACGGTAGTCTCATTCACACTGAAAACATCAATCTGTATATACTTATATCTCTGAGATTCCAAATCTTGTTGACAATAATGTAGGTGTTAGTAACATGAGAAGGCACAGTGGGAAACCGCCCCACTAGATAATTGTGGATTTGAAACTTTCTTCTGATTGACTTGATAAAGAAAGTATATATGTACATAAAATATACTTGGGAAAGAAATTCTTGATCTGGCTGCTCACTAGGGTAAAACACTGTTCCCTCTGAACCTTCGATTGATGCCTTTGATCTATAATCATCGTTTAAATATTTCAACTCAGCCACTGGAATGGTTAGTACAGCAATAGAGGGCTCGTGAACAACTGGCTGGTTCATGGGTGAATCTGCTCTTTGATGGTGGCGTCCATTAATGTAACCTTTAAAAAAAAAAATAAAGAACCGTAACAACTTAGATGGCAAAAGATCGACACAAAGAAAAACACAGTTGATGATATAGGACTATAGGTGAGCTACCTTCTGGTTTGTGCGCTGGCCTTGGTCCGATGTCAGCAGCGTTACGAAACCCACACCAACAAAATAAGCTCATTACACACTCTTTGATAATGGGTCCGATTCTATTGGTATAATATGCTGGTACTTCTCCTTAGGTCATGTACATTAGCGGTAATAGCCATCGTCCCATTGATTTTTTTGTAAAGAAAATAAATCAAAAATACAATAAAGATGAAGAAACGTTCTCACAAGTGCGACGTCCTTCGTTACCTTCACTCACTATTTGCGGGCCCCATTGACACGTGACGGTTCGCAATTGGTTACATTTGTTTTTTCTTTTGTCTTTTTTAAACTAAAAGTAAAAAAAAAATTAATAATAATATTCAGGGGACCATATAGAGTGTCCAACCGATGTACATGACCTTAGTTAATCTTATTAAAGTCTCTCCCATATAATTTAGGGTACAAACCAAAAAACTCTAAAGAGAATTTAAGGAATGTTCTAAAAATTCCCATAAACCCTACATACTTGACTCGGTGTCTTTCACTCTTACGGGAGCTAAATTAATGATTAGTGTTATGCAAGAGACAAACAAACGAAACGGTGTATATAACCAAAAAAGAACACGTCTTAAAAAGTGGGAATCGAATGAAGAGTTAATGAGATGATATGGTCCCAGAAATTTAACAAATTTTAAACCAAATGAGATAATACATTTATTGATTAATTATCCATGAAGAAGGTGAGATGGGCTGGGGATTTGATCAATCATCGTATCTCTCTGTATACATTACTCAACCAAAAGTCTAAGAACAATACAATATTGGGGTTTGCATGCAAGTTCGAGTCCCTATTCTCTCCTTAAACCTCTCTCAACAAACAAATCGTCGACGACAAGAGAACACCGGCGCCGTTGCAATCGATCTCGATACAACCATCATTGTCTCTCTTTAAGCGACCCGCCATGGGGCAAAAAGGGAAGATGATGGTCGTATAGAAATCGATTGCAACAATGATTTTGCGGACTTCGCTCCTACACCTTACTCTCTGCCAGCTTATTACCGATGTTGATTACTCAGTTGGCGTCCACACTTTCCCGCTCCTCGTCTTATGTTTTTGGTTTAGCTTTTGTCTTTTTTTTTTTTTTTTTTTTTCTTTAGTTTAGCTTAGCTTGACCATGGTTCCTTGATGTAGTAGGTGACCTTCTTTAGATGTGAGAAAGCTTCCCTTGTGGTTGGCGTGCGCACCACCACGTCGCTGATGGTTTATCTGCTCTCCACTTTATCAATACATGGTCTGATATGGCTTGTGCTCTAGACCGAATTCTCCTCCGCGCTAGGGACACTTTCCCCTAGTATCAGGATCCCCTCCTCCAAACCAGGAGGCCCGCGCTGCGACTATTTTTAGAGGTAATGCTAGTATCTTCAGTGCCGCTAGAAAAAATGGCGATCGTTATTATAATCGCTGCGACTACGATACCGGTATTGTCGGTATTACTCCCCACATACTTACTTGTGCTCCCCACATACTTGACACACAAGTAAGTTATAATTTTGTGTCGAGGAACACAGCCAAACTGATTTTGTTTATTTTCAAAGTAAAATTATATGTCGGTGCAACGGTATAAAGCGAAAGCATTGAATTTTAAATTCGCTTTTTATGGTCACTTCGATTCAATTTTGGTTTTCAAACCCATCAGACAAGAGACAACAATCTACAAGAGCATTCTTTTGCTAAGTAGCACTAAGTAAACACAGCCCACTAGAGTAAGTACGTGTACTTAACGAACAACAAGTATGATTACGACTAATTCATGTTCTTCTTCTCACTAACCCAATCAAACAAACAACAACAAGTACCAAACCAATTATCACTAGATTCTAGCCAATTAATAGACGGCATTTCAGAGAAATCGAGCAATTTCTACAGAAAATATGAAAATCCTCACATTGAAGGCTGAGTCTTAAGATCATAACCCATCACTAAAGGCACCGACTTTTCACTAGAATCAAATCACCAAATTGAAGTCTGAAACTAGAGGATGATCAACGGGAGTAACAGAACAAGCCTAACTTTCGATGTGATATGTCTAGAGCTTTAAAATTTACAGGGGATTCAGCATCTAGCAAAACCCTAGGAACAGGAAGACGAAGAGCAACAATCTCTTATTTTCTTGTGGCTTCTTCGTCGTCATACGAAGTGGGTCTTACTTTCTTAGGGTTGGTTTTGGAATGGAAAAGAAAGAGACGACGATTTGGAGATTGAGATTGAGCTTGGTTCCCATGTGTATCGCCAAAACTTCTGGTTTTTAGGGTTTTGCTCTGTTTCGATTGTTTTCTAAAATTATGATTAGACCGGTAGTAAACCCGACCCGACCCAATTCGTATTCCAAATTCTCTGTTTTATATATGTTTTCATTCCAATCATTTATCAAACGTTACTTATCTTAACGGTTGGGTAATAATAATTTAAAACATGGTATTATACATATTGCATGTTTCAATATTTTGAAATTTTAGAAATGTACTAATAAGAAATTATATAGAAGTTGATAAATAATTCTGAAAATATTTGTACTGAAAATAATCCAAAAATATTTGTCTTGAAAATTAACTCTTACAAAAAGTTGACCGTTGGAAACTGTAATGTGAAAGAGATAAGTAATATATTTTATTACCGTTGGGATGAAGAAAACAAAAAGGAAATTAATAACAAGAAACGAAATCTCATAATTTCCGTTAGAAGTTTATATTTAATCAGACCGTTGTGAGATTAATATAAAGTTTCCTTTTTTCTTTTGAACTTAATTTGTTTATCTCCTTCTCTCTCTACTTAACGTCTTTCTTCTTCTTCATTCTTCCTTGACAGAGAAATCAAAAACTCTCTCTCTTCTTCTTCTTCTTCTTCTTCTTTTTTATACATACAGTCACTCTTTGAATTCCGATGATGATGATTCCATCCAAATAGATAGACTTATCCAATTCCGACGCGATGATGATCCGTAAGGGTAAGTATTTTTATCTCTTCGTTTCGTTTTGTTCCGTTTCGTTTTATTGATTGAATGATCAGATCAGATCTCCTCCTCATCTGTCTTCTCTTATACAGTCTAAATCAATATCGATCCATAGAGACGCTTTCACCAGAGATTACAGCGAAATTCAAAACTCAAAAGAGGAATCGAGCGAGGTATTTCGTAAAATTCCTCTGCTTTTGTTGATTTGAATTTGATATTTAGGGTTTATTAGGAACGGTGTAACTAGAGATGATGATGTTTGGTGTTTGAGAATGATAAATACCTAATTGTAAAAGTTTTGTTTATTTGTGAAAATCCCATTCTTTGTTATAGACTTGTGGATATAAGCCTAGGAAGTGGTTTGGTTGGATGCATCGTAGAGTTGCAGCCATGTCTGTGTCGTGTTGTTGTACTCTTGTGTCTAATCGTGACTGATGGTATGCTCTTGAGATGATGTGATCTTTGGTCTTCTCGACTAACATTGCTGAGACTTCCCTAACTATTAGATTGGGTTCTTGAGGAATCTGTGTTGAGTCATTGTTGCTGTCCTTGATTTCAAAGGTAAAGTGCTGCTCTGCTCACGAGAGAAGAGTTTTTACAGGCTTTATACAGACAAGAGTTCCAGTACTAAGATCAAACACACTTTGATCTAAGCACTTTGGGTTTTATGGATCCCCCTTGCTCCTGAAACGCTGATACATGCGTGCCTTAGAAGTTTTGAATTACTTGGGAGCAGCATTGCATCTACATGATGAAGGTAACTTGACAACGAGATGCTCTCAGGTACACCTAAAATTGCTACCACATACGGTGAAGATGCTCATTGTGAGTCCTGAATTCAACTGCTCAAACGAGATGCTCTCAGGTACACCTAAACTTGCTACCAATTTCCATTCTGCAACTAGTCTACTGTGCATTAGAACTCATCTTCTTCTTCCATATGTATATGATTATCAATTAGATTTAAGTATTCGAGTTAGGTGTTATCTCACAAGCAGTCTCTATTTTGGGTTCTGCATACCCATGGTTAAGTGTATCCTAAGTAAGTGCTGATGCAGATAAATACTAGTTGCAATTTCTCAGTTATACTCTCTCATGAAGCAAATAGTATCAGTCTCATTGCCTCACTCTATGCATCTGCTGCTGCCTCTTCCATTGACCTCTTCTGTTATAAACACCAATTCTTTCTCTGCTTTATCCGGCCTAGAGAGGCTCAAAGAGCAGCAGATGCTAGGTTTGGACACATTGATGATTGTCTACAACGCTTTTAAGCAAAACAGTAAGTGATTATCCCTTTCTCTTCCTCGTTTGATTATAGCTCCGCTTTAGACAAGTAAAATTTACTGTAACTAACTTGGTCAATGTAAATTCTCACTCACAGTCCATGAAGATCCCAATTGGTGCTGTGAAAACTTGCATCAAAATCTGCAGGCAATGTTAGATAGTAAGCTAGTCCGGATAATGTCAAGATTCAACTTGAAGAGGTGCAGCACTCATTTTAACTACTATATCAACGTAAGCAAGACCTCACTTAGAGCGCACTAGCCATTACTTGACAGCCAAAGACAACCAAGTCAGTTTATATTGTTGTTTCCATTTAAACATTGTTCTCTTGTGTTCATCTCATGGTTAAAATTCTTGGTTGGCAGGTGGTTCATTTGCATCCATCAAATTGCTTGGATCACAAACCTGAGTGGGTAAGTTCTTACATTTCTCCTCATGAAACG